CCCCCCAAAAAAAAAAAAACTATTCTAATTGTTGAGGCCCCTATATCAAACCCTATAAGCCCTAACGTATCAAAAGGTCTGCATGTGGTGTTCGCTCTTCACCATCCTGGTGGCAGTCTTCGACCTGTGCGCGCTGATGAAGCATGTCACCATGTTCCTTGCCTGGGCTGTTGTGAATAACGGTTTAGGTTTTCGAGTTTAGGGTTTAGGGTTTAGGGTTTAGGTGGTTAACATGTCACCATTTTCCTCGCCTGGGCTGTGGTTACCCAGGGGCCCCAACGTAGTTTCCTTTTTGGGTCTGTTATGGTCTTTTGGCAAGGGTTTATAGTATACTATCCAAAAAGGAACTACATAGGAGCCCTTGGGTAATGTAACGGCTCATAAAATTACCTATACTATTTTTAGGGGTGCCGTGTTCTAATTATAGTATAATGTACCCCAAAACCCTATTTTAATTATTAAGGCCCTGTGTTAAGGGCCAGGGTTTGGAGTTTAGGGTCGAAGTTATGTCAATTATCCCGTCTGGTCTGACATACATCAAGCCTGGGAATTCCGTCTAGGGTTTAGGGTATAGGGTTTAGGGTGTAGGATTATAATGTAGGGGCCGAATAATTACCAAGATTATTTTGGGTGTTCCTCATTGCAATTACAATAGCATAATGGGCCCCCCAAACCCTATTTAACTATTCAGGCCCCTACATTAGTTCGCCACTCCTAAACCCTAAACCCAGACCGTACAACTCAGGTTTTCCGAAGATATCTTCGCCGGGCTGATCAGCTTGATCTTCATCATCGATGGGGCGAGGCCTCCAGTGAATACGACCCTAAACCCGAAGCCTAAACCCAAAAAGCCCTACATATACCCAAAACGCTATATAAACCCTAAACCCGAGAAGCCCTAAACCCTATATAAACCCTAAACCCTATATAACCCTAAACCCTATAAACCCTATAATCCCTTAGCCTGAGCCCTATGAGCCCTAAACCCTATAAGCCCTAAGCACGTGATTGAGTGTGTCGGGAGCTGCTGAAGGGCCCACCATGGTCGCCGGTTCAGGGCTTTAGGGGCACATAGGGTTTAACGTAGAGGCTGAAGTGACTACCAATATCAATTTCTTAGGATTCCTCATTATCATTATATCAATTTCTTAGAGTTGGTTAATTATCATTCTACTATGAAGGAGCCAAAACTTTATTCGAATTATTAAGGCTCCTACATCAGTTTGAATTGCGGTTGAAGTCAGGACAGACAGGGTTCATCCAGACCGGACTGAGCCTGGACTGTCCCGCGCATTCGTGTCCGCAGGCCACTCATCGAGAATTTCACGGAAAGCCGCATGCCTCTCGTGAGTGCCATGTTCGAAATGTTGCTTTTCATTTATACTTTCGGACTTGCGACATGGCTCTCGCAATTCCGGCGCAAGCCTTGGTCCCTGCGTTTCGTCCGCAACTTCCTGGCCAACTTCGCAGTGACCATCGCCTTGGTGACGGCTTCAGCTCTCGCCGCCATCTACTCCGACGACACCAACCTTAGGATGCTGCAGGCGTGTGTCGGTTGAAAATCTACCCCCAAGACGCCAAGTATACAACTAGTACCTACTGTTTGGGGGGTGTCTAAAGTCTGTGAATGGTGCCTATTTTTGGGGCTAGTTTGGAGTCTTAGGGAATAGGGAGACCTTACCAGCTTCTTTGTAAAGTACTGTTGGTGGCACTGCCGGCACTCCTGCCGGACACTGTTTGATACTTGCCGGCGCGTATGACAAGCCACCGGCATTCCTTCTACTGTCTGTGGCCACCCATTAGGGTAATTCTGAAAAATTGGTGTCCCTTTTAGGGTCCTTTTTAGAAAGGTGCCGTACTAGATTTGGGACCCAGAAAGGGACCCTAATTCAGAGAACTACTCATTAGTATGTTTCTGCGGTTCCAAGCAAGTGGGTTCAATCATGGGACCCCCCCCCCCCGCCCCACAGTGACCGTAGTAAACCCTAAACCCTAAACCCTAAACCCTAAACCCTAAACCCTAAACCCTACAGCCCGCAGGTGGATGCAGACTTCTCCCCAAATCTCGTTCTCGCCGACGGAAGCAAGCGGCCTTGGATCGTAAATCCGGCGGGCATTGACCAGCCCTTTCCGGCCTGGGGCATTGCTTATGCTATCCTGCCGGTGACTTGGACAAGAGTCTGCTGAGTTGTAGTTTAGGGTTTAGGGTTTAGGGTTTAGGGTTTAGGGTTTAGGGCTTAGGGTGTGTATTTGAGGGTTCCCGTTCAAGTGACTATCTTGAGTCAGTCTTGTTGCGGTTTCAAGCATTTTTTGGGTGCAGGGTTGCAATTGCAACATGTTCAAGTATACCACGTACAGGACCCTGAAACTCTGACAACAATTGAGTGCCAAATAAAGCACGACCCAGGCGATTGGATTTGCAGTCCTCGGATACCTGGACCAGAACTTGACATCTGTGATCGTGAACAGGCACGCTCGACCCCTCAGCCTTAAACTCTTGCTTGCCAGTTTAGGGTAATAGAATAGTATAGCAGCTCAACCAGAACCCTGTATGCCTTAAGAACCCTAAACCCTAAACCCTAAACCTTGAATGCAGCCCTGAAATCAGAAATCAACCTAGCAGACCCGGGACCCACGAACAGGCCAGCCAACGGCCTTTCGAAGCCACCCGGATACCACCTGGACCTCTTCGTTCGAGGTGGGAATTGTTCCAGACTTTTCGTTTGGGTCATTCGGGTGGAGTCTTCAGGGTCTGAGGCTTTTGATTTTAGTTCGAGGCGTGTAGTTCTTTTAGGTTGAGGGTTGTGTAGGTTTCTTTTAAGATGTTTGTAATCTCAAATCTAGCCCTCAAGGTTTGGCTTGTTTACCGTGAGCTGCTATGTTGTGAGAACCAGGGGCTGACTTCAGCTTAGGGTTTAGGGTGTATAGGGCTGAACGGGTTTAGGGTTTAAAAGGGTTTAGGGCTTATAGGGTTTAGGGTTTAGGGTTTTGGAGGTCATCAACTTGTGTAGGAGTCCTTGTATTCTTGAGTAACCTGACGATGTGCATCAGGGCTCCCCCAAACTGGCCTAAACCCCTAAACCCCCTAAATGCTTAAACCCCCCAAACCCCTAAACCTCTAAACCCCCCTAAACCGCCTACAACCAAGTACCCAACGATTGGGTCCCTAGGACCCTGAACCCTAAACCCGGAACCTTAAGGGCACCAGGAGCTCTCACTCTTCCTGTCTGCGCCGTGCTGGGCTTGCCCCTCTCCGTGGCCTCAACAGTGCCCAGCATCACTCATGCTCCTGGGTAAGAACTGGGCGGGGTTTGGATTATAGAGGTTCCTTGCAGTAACCGCGCAGAGCGAGTTTTTTTGTATAGCAACCCTTCCAGTAGCCCGGTAGCCGAAATCCCCTAAACCCTAAACCCTAAACCCTAAACCCTAAACCCTAAACCCTAAACCCTAAACCGACACCAATCTTACAATTAGTAAGGACCCTGAAGCGGGAGCTTCCAGCGAATTGTTCATGCGAGAATGGAGGTAGGTTTAGGGTTTAGGGTTTAGGGTTTAGGGTTTGCGATGCACTAAGCCATCGTCAAACACTATAGTGTCCTGAAATTAAAGACTCTTGTGCGTTCAAACCTCCCAACCCCTAAATGCCAACCCAGGTGGGGAAAGCCCCAAACACCTTATACCCACCCAATCCAGAACGCCACAGAATCCCTTCAGAAATCCAGGGCCCTAATCTTGGCGTTCTTTTGGTTGGCTCTTAGGACTTTGACTTTTTGGGTTTCTATATGAACTATAATATCCAGGCTAAAAGTTTAACTTGTAGGAGGGGTTCAGAAATCCAGGGCCCTAATCGTTAAACTGAGGTGATCTCTCTGACCACCTATGATCCCTAAACCCTAAACCCTAAACCCTAAACTGAGGTGATCTCTTTGACCACCTATGATCCCTAAACCCTAAACCCTAAACCCTGAACCGTAAACTGAGGTGATCTCTTTGACCACCTATGATGTGAAGCAGCTCCCAGAGGGTGAGCGCAAGGTCCCGACCAAGGCCCGAAATTTCATCCCACCTGACCGGATCCGAAGGACCTCCAAGGACTTTTGGGTTGAGGGTGCTACTTCTTGTAGGGGCCTTCATAATGTTAATAGGGTTTGGGGGGGTCCTTAGTATAATTCTGGTATAACAGTATAATAGACCCCTAACCCCATTTTAATTTATTGAGGCCCCTAAAACCCTAAACCCTTATCGTAGCCCTTATAGAACCCTTTAAGAATCCCTTTAAAGGAACCCCTATACAACCCTATTCTAATTATTGAGGCCCCTACATTACTAACTTACGACCTGCAAAGGCTTCCAGGTTCGATGCTTAGGGTTAAGGCCAGGATTGGTGTTGGGGTGCGTTGATCGATCGGTTTAGGGTTTCGGGTTTAAGATGCACTGTACCAGTATACTACATCGTAGGGTTTTCTGTGTCATGAATCATGATGGTCGTTCGTGTACGTTCAGGGTCCAAGTGCCCACTCGGGTTTTCGGTATCTAGAACCATTCAGAGCCCAAGCCCTAAACCCTAAACCCGATCTGGGATGGCATGAGGATGATGGTGTTCCAACTTTATAGTTTGAACTATAGGTCCCTTCGGCTCTTGTTGTCCTCATCTCAACACCCTGCCGCCCGAGAGGTGGTGGAGCAGCGCGCCACGAACTTCCTGATCCCGGGCTTGGAGTTCGAAGGTTTACTTCGGATTTTGGGTGTAGGGTTTAGAGTCTTAAACCCTGAACCCTTAGAATCTGAAAGTTTAACCTTTTATTTGCCTGGCTGGGCGTAGGGGTGTGGGGCTTAAGGCTTTAGGGGCTGTGGATTCGAGGGTTTGGCGGTCAGAGTTTAGACTGCAACTGAGAATTTAGTTATCGAATTCTTGTTGTTTGCTTCCTTATTTTTAGGGGGCCTAAACCCAAATACCCCCTGCCTAAACCCTAATCAGCCCGAATAAAACCTAATAAACCCTCAACCCGAATAAATAAATAATAGACCCAAGACAATAACCTAACAAACCCTAAACCCAAAGCCCCAATGAACCCAAAACCCTAACCTAACAAACCCTAAACCCTAATAACTAAACCCTACACCCTAAACCTTAAAAAACAGCCCCAATGAACCCAAAACCCTAATAGAGCACCGATCCCTAATAAGCCCGAATAAAACCTAATAAACCCTAAACCCTAAACGCCCAATGAACCCAAAACCCAAACCCTAAACCCTAAACCCTAAACCCTAAACCCTAAACCCTAAACCCTAAACCCTAAACCCTAAACCTAAACCCTAAACCCTCACAGAGCACCGATCAGGATCCATGTGCTGATCGGGTTGGCGCTTCTGTTGGCCCCGGTGCTGAAGCTCCTTGGGCGACATCGTCATATGAGGGGTTTACCCATAGGCCCCATAGTAGTTTCTTTTTGGGGTTCATATTTAGAATCCTCTAAGGTAATCCCAAAAAGGAACTACTATGGGGCCTATGGGTAGGGGCTTTAGGGACTTTAGGGTTTGACGTTTAGGGTTTATTTAGGGTTTCGTAATTATGATGGGTTTAGGGGCTTTGTGGACTTTAGGGTTTGAGATCTAGGGTTTAGGGTTTAGGGTTTCGTAGTTATGAGGGGTTTAGGGTCTTTAGGGACTTTAGGGTTTGACATCTAGGGTTTAGGGTTTAGGGTTTCGTAATTATGGGGGGTTCAGGGGCTTTAGGGGTTTTAGAGCTTATATGGTGCGGAGAGTTTAGAGCTTCGGGTTTATAGTGCTAGGGGTTAGGGTTTGTAGGGCTGGGGCTTGTAAAAGGGTGTTCATACGGCTTATAGGGTTCATAGGTTTTTTTGGGTTTATGGGGCTTAGAGTTTAGGGTTCAGGGTTCATAGTGCTTGGGGTGTAGTAGAGTTTATGGAGCTTAGGGTTTCGGGATTTTAAGGGTTTGGGTTTAGGGGTTTTAGGGTTTAGGGCCTAGGCTATAGGGTTCATAGGTTTTAGGGTTTTAGGGTTTATAGGGCTTAGGGCTTGAAAGGCTCTTTATCAGCAGAATAGTTTTCCTCAGGGTTCTAGAATCATATACGTTCTAAACCTGTTTGGGGTCTAGGCGTAGGCGTTTTGAGGTTTACTATACCCTCTTTTGGTCTTCAACGGCTTTAAAGGTTCTGCAGAAAGCTGTACCATGGTTTCATAAGGGTTGCACAGATGTTTAAGGGGTTTCGCCTTCTGGAGCGTGCTGGTGTATCTTTAGGGCTTCTGCTTGTTTGCTGGAGCTGTAATCTGTGTAGGAAACATGGTGGACAACCAGGTTAGTTGTGATTTCATTGTCCTCGGCTATGCCAGAGCATAGGTTCTTGCCGCGAGCCGTCCTGCAGGGCGTCTTCTTCTACATGGGAAACTTGGTTTAAAGGCCAAGAGTTCTGCCTCGGGGTTTGGGGCTTCGGCAGATGGGGTTTCATAGTATGGAGCTTCAGTGTTCAGTGTTCTGGACATCATGAACGTGTAAGATGTCTTTTGAGCCCGGATTTGCAGTTTGAGATCCATCTAAATTTCCGGGAGGCTCAGAGTTTCAGACTTCGGGTGTAGGCTCCTTATGGCTGTGCGGCGTAGGATCCGCAGTTAGAACGTATGGGCTCATCTAAGACTGCAGCAGCAAACTTCCTGCACAGTAGCCAATGATGCAACATGCATGGTTTCGGCTGTGGTAAATGAACTGAATTCTGACCCGTTTTTAGTCACGCCAGTGTTGTTGCCAAGGGGGAAAACGAATTCTCCTGGATAGTTTCAGTACAGGTGGCAATGCTGGGAAAGGTGCTACTGGCGGTAAGTCAAGCTAGTGCTGCGCATACTACAGACTGGCGCAGGTACAGTGGCACGGGTCAGAACTGCCAGCAGCATTTAAATTGCAACGATGTATCGACAGTGATGACCTCTGTTGATGCACTCTTGGCAAAAGGTTCAACGTACTGAGCGCAGCAGGGGTAGGAGCGTATCGACGGCAACTTCGATACCGATACAGTTGTTGGCAAAGGGACAAGGGGAGTGATTTTCTCATTGTCATGGTTACCACCATCATCATCATCCCTAAACCCTAAACCCTAAACCCTAAACCCTAAACCCTAAACCCTAAACCCTAAACCCTAAACCGTCGTCGTCATCGTCATCCTGATCGTATGTCGCATGTTGACCTTCATCCTCAGTACTCAGCACAGTTAGCAGACTCACTCGCCGTAGTAGCAGCGGTATTTTAGTAGTCACCGTCTTCATGGGCATGAACTTCACCCTAAACCCTAAAACCCTAAACCCTAAAACCCTAAACCCTAAATGCTATAGCCTAAACCCTAAACCCTAAACCCTAAACGGCACAGAGCTCTGAGTCTTTCACGCCTAGGAATCGCATCGCTCACTGGCAACAACCTCTTCGACCGCCTCAAGCTGTGGCTGATCCTTGGCCCTCCAATACCCAACAGTTGAAACTTTTAGGGTTTAGGGTTTAGGGTTCTGAAAGTTTAACCTCTTTTTTTACTGGCTTATTGGGGAAGTAAGGATCTGGGACCCGGCCAGGTACCCGCAGCAACCTGGCAAGGATACGCGGGTCGGCATGGCTGCTAGTTTACTGCTTTTTAAACCGAACACCCAAAACCAATGTAAAGTTCCCCCAAGGCATACATAAAATGATCCTTAGCCCAAACCCCCTATGAATCCAGCATACTTAAGTAAACCCTAAACCCTCAACGATCGTCGCAGACAAGGTACCACTACGTCCAGAAGCTTCCTGTGAGCCGGGTGCACCTGTACACCTTTATCCAGGCGAGCTCCGATAATTCAGGGTCTAGGGGTTAGGGTTTAGGGTTTAGGGTTCAGGATTAGGTATTCTCTCCGAGGTCCTCAGTGTAAAGGGGATCCTAGAGAGGATCCTACTAGCTTGTGTTCCTAAACCCTAAACCCTAAACCCTAAACCCCTAAACCCTCAACCCTATGGGTGCCCCATGTTCTGAGCCTTCCATGTCTGTACTCTAATGTTGTTCACCTTCTTTTCGGACCAGGTTTAGGGTTAGGGTTTAGGGTTTAGGGTTTAGGGTTTGAGAAGTAACAAAGAGGATGTGACCAACAAAGGGAAGGACGTTGGTATCACCTGTTTAAAAACATGACAACTCCTAAGCATCCAAATCGGAGTCTCGGAGACCGGAATCAAAAGCCAGGGCATTCCTAGGGCTTTCGAGTTCGCACGCCTCAACCCGCCTTTTGCAAATTGAAGCAGCTAGGCTCTATAACAGCTAAAGGGACGCTGCTTTGGAAAGCTTCCCAGCACATGCGCTGTCCATCCAGAAATGCACTTTAGCCCATCCCCTATCAGCCCCACCAGCCCTTTCAAGAGCCATCAGAGTTTCGGGTTTGGGGCTTGGGGATCTAAAGAAAGGCTGGGGCGTTGCACGCGACAAGCTTGTTGGAGTCTACACCTTACCACCAACCTCGAACTACGGTAAACCCCCTGAACCCCCAAACCCTCAGCCCTGAAGCCCTAAACCCCAAAATCCTGCAGCCTGAATTCCCAAAACCCTAAACCCACACCCTAAACCCCAAACCCTAACCCCTAAACCCTAAACCCAAAGCCCTAACCCCTAAAACCCGAAGTCCCTAAAACCCTAAGTCCCTAAAACCTTGAGGCCCTGATGCCCTAAACCCCAAACCCTAAGTTCCCGGTGTAATATAGGGGCCTTAATAATTAGAATCCGGTTTGCGTGTATATTAAAGAAAAATTTTACTTTGAATAGGGTTTGGGTGTTTTTTATACAAAAGTTATAAGAAGGAACCCCTCAAACTAGTATTGGTTATTATGTAGACCCCTACATCAGGGTTTAGTCTAGGACATTTTCAGGTGGGTAGTTACCGTTATAGGAGCCTTATAGAAGGTCTATATACCTTATGGAAGCCTTATAGAAGCCCACAAAACCTAAACTCCCCACCTGTAGTTTCCTTAAACCCTAAACCCCTAAACCCGAAACCCTAAACTCCCCACCTGCAGTGTCCTTTAGTTTAGGGTTTAGGGGAACCCTGAAACCCCAAAGCCGAAGGTGATTTGCCTGGCCATCCTGTACGGCTTGAAGGCGATCAAGGAGAGAGTTGGCGAAGAACATGCAAAAGAGGGTGCCTTTCCGGGTTTAGGGTGTTCTTAGGGTTTAGGGTCAGTATATAGGATTTAGGGTTTCCGGTTCATGGCTCAGCGGTTCAGGTGTCGACGGGTTCATGGATTTAGGGTTGCAGGGCTGAGCGTTTGGGGTTTATGGCTTTTGGGTGGGCAAACTCATAGGCCCGAAAACGCAGGACAGGCATGATACACATTCGCCTGTGCATGGTGCAAGCCAGCGAGTGTGCTAAGACGCAGTAAGGAAGCAAGAACGGAAGAACCCTGAACCCTAAACCCT